TTTTTTTTTTTTTTTTTGGTACAAAAAACCATTCAATATTCAAACAATATGAGTATGTTTGCTTAACAAATTGGGAAAGGACAAGAGAGAATTCAAACCTACCACAATAATGCATGAATTTTCTATGCTAATGAAATTAATATTCAGAAACCGTTCGTGCCATAAAAACGTAAGCTATAATTAAAATAATATAGTTACAAACGACAAGAAATAACAACTTCAATTCAAATCTCAAGGTTAATTTCTATTTCAAAAATCAATTGTGGGGCTTTATCTTTAGAATTATTGCTATGTATTTAATTATTTCAATCCAAGTCTTGAATATGATACATCGTTTTTGTATAATGATTTATTAATTAACTAGTAAATAACATTAATACTTTGAAATATATTTATAGAGGATTAAATATATATTTTATACTAAAACAAATTGGCATGCACCATAGGACATGATTAAATTAAAAAATCACTCATTCTTGGGTGAGATAGGTCAACATTATTCGGGTCGACTCGTCATATTTCTGAACAGAGATGTATAGTTATATCATAACATGACACGTTTTTATTTTTATTATTTTTTTTAAAGTATAATATTCGAATATAAAATCATACATATTTACTAAAAAAAAGGTAAATTTGACTAATCGTACCGATTCCAACTTGATCAAGAATGGACAAAATGCTCGATTGACTTAAGAACGCTATAATCACAAAATTGAACTTAAACTTCCAAGTTCCGTAATGTAATTATTTATGCACTAACCATACTTAATGGAATTATTATTTACTGCATTAGTGCAAAGAGAGTAATTAGTTACATTAATTATGACTAGGTCTAGCTAGCTAGGTTGCTTTACTACAAGATTAAGAAACAAAAGCTTTGATTAAGACACATAGTTAATGCTTTCATCACACGATCATTAAGTAAAAATCCTGTTTTACAGGCTTTAGTAAAAACACGAAACTCCACTATCTCTAAAGCTTCTCGATCAAATTCGTGCCGAATAATGAAGAAAAAAAAAATAAATTTACCATTCGATCAACGTATATATGAACGATAAAAAAATTCGATAATCACAAGTTGGTCGAATTTCGCACAAAATAATTACAAAAAACGAGCCAAAAGTTTTAAAATTTTAAATTACCCTCAAGATTTATGACTACCTTACAAAATAGCCCCCCTACACTCTTGACTCTATAACTATTGTGCAACACAAAAACAAAGGACAAGTGACTTATTTGTTATTTTAGAAGACAACTGGGATCTATCCGTAATTAACCTAAAGACGAGGGGTCGTTTTCGCAATTAATCTTAGTTTTCATTGTTCATCATTCTAAGCGCCAGGGCGTGTAGTTCATCTCTGCTTTGAATTTCTTGCATGCCGCCGTTAATGGCGTGGTGGTCGTTAATGGAGTCCAACGAGCTCTGAGGTGAGATGTTCGACCGGTTAGTGAAATTATTATAATTCGGGAGCTGAAATTGAGACGACGGGCCCATGCAACCCGGGTCAATGGGCCCAGCGGCCCATTGATTCTCTGTGGTTCGTGATGATTGGTCCAACATCATGCTTTGGGCTAGCTGCGCTTTCGCCTGCATCAGTTGGGCTTGAAGATACGCCACCTGTCGTAATTGATTTGAAATCGAGAGGAGATTGAATAAAATTGTTCGCTATCTGGCGAATTAAAATTAGGAGTACGGTACAAGTCAGACATTAGTCTTGTTTCCTTATTCTATTTTTTTTTTATTTTTATATTTAATATATATTACCTGTTGTTGAAGGGCGAAAATATGGGCCACGCAGCCGTAGACGGGGTCCCTGATTCGAGCCTGGGCCTCGTAGGCAATGGTGACCACGGCCTCGCACCTATTGGGCTCGGGCACGTGGTGCTGCAGCAGCTTGGACACGTTGCTTGCCCCAAACACCTTGTGAATGGCCGCGAATCGGGCCGGGCCCTGCTCCGAACAGAAGTACGGCCCGAATACGCAGTCCGGGGCGCACTTGCGCCGGAGGAACTTGCATGCGCCGCACGGCGACCCGGTTCCGGTTGCCATTATTACTATCACAAATATGTAGAAAAATTCTATAAGGAAAAAAAAAGAACGTATAATTGGAAGAATATTGTTGAGGATGACAAAAAAGGAAACAAGGACGATTTATTCTATTTGTGAAGAAAAGTGGTTTTTAGGTGCACGGGGAGATTAGAAAATGGTGGGGTGATATATATATGAAGAGGGAGAATTTTTGGGTGTTAAAAGAGATGAAAGGGGACATGAATGGGCTTTGTTGTATGGTTCTAAGGAGACATTTGTTAATGGCTTATGTAATATATCTAATATGGGGTGTTATAAATGGTAATTATTTTATAGGAGATTTTATTGTCCCGTTACGGAATCATTCTGCTGGGATTTATGACCATTAGATCAACTATTCACAACGGTTATATGATGATCTAACGGTTACAAAAATCCCGACGAAATGATTCCGTAACGGAAACGTAGCATTTCCCTATTTAAATAATTGCAATTTTTGGTTTAGTGAAAGGAGATGGACATGTGTACTTAAGACTCTATTGTTTGTGAGGTGTATTCAAGTGTTTGGAGCTGGTAAGGTAAAGTTGGTGGTGCTTGGGAAGTTTTAATGGTTAATGGATAGACATATCTCACGGTTAAA